ACAAAAACCAGGGGTGCCCTTCCTTCTCACAATACCAGCAACTCCCTTTCATTTTGCCACCAGCACCCGACTTGCCCCCACGTCCAGATTTCGCACCGCGACCCCAACCGGTACCTCCTTGTTGGTCGTTGGAGTCGTCGTCCTTCTTTGCACCGCGTCCAGCACCACCGAAGCCACGTCCTCTGCCACGTCGGCTCCCTTGCATCCCGTAGCCGCTGCTGCCGTCGTCTCCACCCCTCAGTTGGCGGCGACGGAAGTCCTCCTCCAGAATCTTCGTCCGCACCCACTCCAGCGTCCACAAGCTCTGGTTCTGCGGCAGGCTCAATCCGCTCGTGAATTGAAGCCACGATTCAGGCAGCAGCGAGAGCATCTTCAAGCACTTGGTCTGCTCCGGGTAGGTGATTCCCGCGGTCGCCAACTTCGCGTAGAGGTCGCGCATCTTGTCCAGGACTGGTTGCACCGGCTCTCCCTCGCTCAGGCGCAACGCGGACAGCTCCCTCTCCAGCATCAACGTTGCGACAACGGAGGTCGGGGCGTGCAGCTCCTTCAACACGGTCCACGCCTTCGGACCGCATTCAACCTCCGGCAGCAGGTGCATGACGTGGTGACGCTGGTTCAGCTCCAAACTCTGCGACATCAAATAGTAGCCAGCCGAGGAGCGCTCGTCCCAATCTTCCTGCAGCGTGGGGTCACTCGGTCTAGGCTCCTCCCCAATCATTAGTTTCAGCAAACCGATCTGACGGAAATATAATTGCATTTTCCAGGCCCAATCATCATAGCCCTCACCATTGAACTTCTCGACGGTGAAATTCTTCAGCACCTCCTTGACAAGCGAGCCCTGGTTTGTTCGCGCTCCCCTTGGCGCTGAAAGACCAGAATCTTGGCTGCCGTTACGATCTTGGGCTGAAGATTCACCAGCTCCCGCCGAGGTGTTGCCCGCCATAGCTACCTATAACGAGGATCACTATAACGCAGCTCTGATACCAGCTTGTTGGTGTAAGGGCCTAATAAACTCAAGCTATTAGGACTTAATCAAACTTAAAACCTCTCCTCGGGGTCACCTCCAAGGGTCCCTGGGTGCCTGGTACAAGACCAGCCCCTATCCTCGGGTCCGAGTTTGTAGAGAGAGGGATCAAGAAGGACTTAGTCAAAACAGCAAGAGCACCTTGAACGTCGCGCAGCGTGCCGTGCAGACCGTCGATCGGATTAAGCTGAGAATTCGCTATATCGAAGCTCGCTCCAAGAGCTTTAAAATGAGCCAAGTTGCCTCGCGAAAAGTTCTGCCATTACGAAGTTATGGCTCAGACGGTGTTTGCCTAGCATCAGAGTGCTAGCGTACTAGCGTTGACTCGGGTAGCATTCCGCCAACGAACCGCGTAGAAACGAAATTCCAGCGAGGAAGGAATTCGCATGAATCAATTGAATATATTCAGGTACAAACAGAGAAGGATTAAATAGTTCTAGCTAGCAAGGACCTTGGGAATCAACCTGGGAACAACCAGGGATGATCCCAAATAATTCCAAGCAACAGAACCAACCTGGCTGGACAAAATAGCAGGTGGTAGGTTGGTAAACAACCTCTGGTTCTGTTTTTCCAACCTGGGAAAACAACAACCAGGTTCAGGTTCTAAAAACAGAACCTGTTTTGTCTTTGCCCAACCAGCCAAATGCTGGTTCCGCTGGTTTCCCCTGGCCTTGTAGCATGCAGATACAGACAAACAACATCCAACCTTCACCTAAATTGTACCCCTATAGTGCCTTCCCTGCTACACTATAGTTAACCAAACAAAACAGTACAATTTCGAGTTGGATAGAACTGAATCTGCGCAATCAACTCAACCGAACTGCAAAGCTTCCATCTTGGGTTCCTTTGCGAGCTCGTCCTTTCTGCTTGCACTGTTCATAGCGCGTACAATGTTGTGCCGAAGCGCACATTGCGCGAGTACCTGCAAATGCATCAAGCGAAAAATGCGAAAGCAAACAAACACACGAACACACCATTCACACGCAAATGCATTCGCACACGCATACTCGTACAAACAGACGGCAGGATGTCGTGCAATGTGCATTTGCACCCAACAAGTATCACCTCTTTCACAAGGTCAGCAGAGGGGGAGAATATGAGGATGTCATCCACATAGACCACCATGAAGCTCCTCTGCTCCCCCTCACCAAACATGAACAAGGAGTGATCGACTGTTGAGGGCGTGAAGCCGATTCCCTCCAACACTTCACGCAGCTTCAAGTACCACTTCCTAGGGGCTTGTTTGAGCCCATAGAGGGCCTTCTTCAGCTTCCACACTCTGCCGCTACCATCGTGAAACCCCTCCGGCTGTGCCATGAAGATCTCATCCTCTAGGACGCCGTTGAGGAAAGCCGTTGTGATGTCCATCTGCTTCACCACCCATCCTTTGATGGCGGCTCCCGTGTGTAGGGTTCGCAGCGTCGTCGGCTTCACCATAGGAGCAAAGAACTCCTTGAAGTCCACCTTCTCCTTCTGCTGGTTCCCCTTGGCCTCAAGTTGAGACTGTAACGCTCGATCTTGCCGTCGGCATCGGACTTGATCTTGAAGAGCCACTTGGACGTTATCGCCGTACGCCCCTCCGGTAGCTCCACCAATTCGAACGTGTCATTCTCCTCAATGCTCTTCAGCTCACTCTCCATTGCCTTCTTCCACTCCTCAGCATCACTACTCTCCAAGGCCTTCTTGAAAGTTGCTGGTTCCCCCGGCATCTCCACTGGAGAGAAGAACACGAACTCACTTTACTCGTAGTCACATTCCTCATCATCTCCGACCAACATTGCCGCTATGGCCAGTGCTGACTTTCCCGGCTCTCCCGGCGCAACATATGTCAGCCTCTTAGGGGCTTGAACTTTCCTCTTGACCCTTCCTTCCTCTTCAGCTGCAGAGACTTGAAGACCTTGGCGTTGCTGCGCAGTTCGGATTCGTGGAGCACTCGTAGTGCGGGAAGGAAGTGTCGGTGCACGCTCGCTCACTTGCTGCACCTCCTCCTCTTCTTCCTCTGCATCCTTGGCCTCCTCTCCCCCATTCACAAGGGAAAATTGACTTGTGTTAGTGCTGCCGCTGCTCAGTTCCACATGCTCCAAACCGGAATTCTTCACCTTTCCAAACCGCACGCCTATCGTAGCCCCATTCTCCGCCTTCCAATTCTTGTACATGAAGTTCTCTGTGAACTTGCAGTCCCTTCTCACCTAAACTTCTTGGTGAATGGGTCCCAAAGAAGCCATCCCTTGCTGTTTTGAGCCATGCCCAAGTGCACGGCCCATATCGCCTTGGCACCAAGCAAGTTGTGCCGAAGGTGCTTAGGCACGAGTGCCATGCACATGCACCCGAACACCCGAAGCATATCCACCTTTGGCTTCCTTCCAAGCCACTCCACATAGGGCACCCATTTATCTGCTCCCAACTGAGTCAAGGCTCTGTTCTTGGCCACACACGCGCTCCGCACCGCATCAGGCCAGAAATAGTCGGGTAGCCCGGCTTCAAAGGGCAACCCGCGCGCCGTCTCCATGATTGTGCGGTTCGCCCTCTCGGCGATGCCGTTCATTGCAGGGGAGTATGGCATGGTAAGGGAGTGCCTTATGCCATTCTTCTTCAGCCACAATCCAAACTCCTTGCTCAGGAACTCTCCCGCACGATCGGTGCGAATTGACTTCACAAGTCGGTCTTGTTGCCAGTCCACCATCGGCAACCAATCGGTCTTCACCGTTTCAGCTATGTCACTCTTCTTGGACAGCACATGCACCCATGTCATGCGGGTGTAACATCCACAATGGTGAGGAAGTACTCTGCTCCAGCAGCTCCAAGCTTCAGGGGGCCCACCATGTTCATCACCACCTCATCAAGTGGTGCCTTTGCCGTTGCCTCCGAACTAGAGAACGGGAAACGGGTGAACTTGGCTTGCATGCACGTCGGGCAGCCAAGCACCTCATCGGGCTCCCCCTTCACACGTATGCCAGCAACCATCTGATTCTTCACTAGCTGCTGCAAGATAGGTAGGGCCACATGCCCCATTCGCTTATACAAGGTGAGCCAATCACACTCCCCCGTAGCCGAAGTCGGATTGGAGAATGTCGCGCTCGCAATAGCGCCCCACATACTCTCTCCGTACTCCTCCTTCGCTGCTGCCTTGGGGTTCTCCTCACCCTTGTGCTGCTCCTTCGATGCTGCACCACTCTCCTTATGTTCACCGCACTTGCTGGTCACTCCAGGTTTGCTCTTCTTGGACTCAATCTCCTTAGCACGGCCGTTCACGCCATCGCTGCTACCAACCGCTTCACCCTTGATGCTGACGCTTGCTGCCAGTTGCCTCTCCTTAAGCATTGGGACCTCAGGGATCTGCCACATCTCGTTGTAGACATCCCTATCCTCGTGAAGGTCCCAAAGAATCCGGTCGCCAATCCTTGCGGTGTAGGTCTTGGCTCCCTTCGAGTTCGTGTCCATGCCGGCCTTTGCCAACCGCGGCCCGGAAATCAGGTTTGCAGCAAGGCTGGGCACCCAAAGCACATTCTTAAGGCCCACCATCCTCCCATTAGCACCCTTGAACATGGCCTTGCCCATGCCTTTCACCTCTGCTCGCTGCCCCAAGGCCGATGTTATATGCTTCACCGGTGACGTTTCGAGTTCGGTGAGCAAGTCGGGGCGAGGTGTCATGCTATAGGTAGCGCCGCTATCGATCACCCAATAGTCCAGGGAGTGTAGGGTGACCTTTCCCACAGCTGCTGGCTCCTCAAAGCCTTCATCCTTCTCTGGACCAGCTGGTGCTAGCATTAAAGCGGCGGTATACATTTGGTTTTACTGTTTGTTTTGTACAGTGTCCACCCCTTCATTTCGCTGAGACGAAAAAAACGAGGGGAGCGAGAATGTTGGCGAAAACCTGAGTCGTTTTTGTACGAAAGAACAAGGGTTGGGTTGGCTGTGTCACAAATGTTGAGATGATCCCGTCACCTCTCTCACCTGCCACTCTCACACACAAGGCATGCGCGTGAGTAGCAAGCCACGCGCATTACAGGCCCCACCTGCGATGGTCACTTGCGGCGCCAGCTTTGCTGGCATTCCGCGCGCGAAACCTGCGCACGCTATGCTGGCGTTTCGCGCGCGGAACTTGCGCCAAGTATGCTGGCGTTTCGCGCGCGGAACTTGCGCCAAGTTTGCTGGCGTTTTCGCGCGCGGAACTTTCGCCAAGTATGCTGGCGTTTCGCGCGCGGAACTTGCGCCAAGTATGCTGGCGTTTCGCGCGCGGAACTTGCGCCAAGTATGCTGGCGTTTCGCGCGCGGAACTTGCGCCAAGTATGCTGGCGTTTCGCGCGCGGAACTTGCGCCAGCTATGCTGGCATTCCGCACGTGCCTGCACAGCACGCGTCAGACGCGCTCAGCAGATCAGCGCGCGCTAGCGAAAGGCGCGCAGCAAAGCGGCACGCGCCTTCTTAGCCGCGCCGCCAGCACATCTAGCGCCTGTGACGCTCGCGCGCCAGCAAACAGCACGCGGTTCCAGACACTCGCGCGCCAGAGAAATGCCATGAGTTCAACTGCGCCCTCCCTTCCCCCAATTCCTTTCCCATTTCCCCTTGTTTTCCCCTTTTGCTTCCCCTGCTTTTCCCCCCTTCACCCTCTTTTCCCCCCTGCGTCCCTTCCTTTCTCCCCATGCATCCACCCCTTTCCCCCTTTGCTTCCCCTCCTTTTCCCCCCACCATCCCCTCATTTTCCCCCGTGTTTCCCCTCCATTCCCCCTGGCCGCTCCTTTTTCCCCTTGCTTCCCCTCCTTTCCCCCCCTTGCATCCTCTCCGTTCCGCCACTGCATCCCTTTCTCCGTTCCCTTGCTTCCCCTCCTTTCTGCCCCTTTTTCCCCTCCTTTACGCCCCTGCCCCTCCTTTTCCCCCTTGCTTCCCCTCCTTTCTCCCCCTGCATCCCCTCCTCCGTTCCCCCACTTCTTCCCCTCCTTTCCCCCTCTTGCATTCCCTCCTTTTCCCCCATGTTTCCCCTTCTTTCCGCCCCTGCATCCCCTACTTTCTCTCCCTTCTTCCCCTCCTTTCCCCCCCTGCATCCCTGCCTTTCCCCCTCCGCTTCCCTTCCTTTCCCCACCTGCATACTTTTCCTCCCTGCTCCCCCTCTTTTTCCCCCCTGCTTCACTTCCTTTCCCCTCCGTGCTTCCCGTCCTTTCCCCCCCTGCATCCCCTCCCTATGCTCCCTTCCCTTGCTTACCCTCCCTCCCCCTACACACAGCTTCCACTTTCCACCTCCAGTACCGTACTACCAACGCGCTGCTCGCCCCATCTCCGCCTCATCCCATCTCCGCCTCATCCCATCTCCGCCTCATCCCATCTCCGCCTCATCCCATCTCCGCCTCATCCCATCTCCGCCTCATCCCATCTCCGCCTCATCCCATCTCCGCCTCATCCCATCTCCGCCTCATCCCATCTCCGCCTCATCCCATCTCCGCCTCATCCCATCTCTGCCTCATCCCATCTCTGCCTCATCCCATCTCTGCCTCATCCTATCTCTGCCTCATCCTATCTCTGTCAGCCCGCACAGTCTTACTCACCTTCGATTGTCACTCCCTCTTTTCCCTCCCTCCCCTTCCCTTCCAAGGCAGAGTGGTCAGTGCACCGCTGCTCACAGCAGCACTCCTCACTTCCATGCTTACATGCTCTCCCCATTTTTCTCCCTGCGCGGGCGTCATGTTTACCCCCAAGCTTTGCTCCCATGCTTCCCCCAAGCTATCCCGAGGTGAGACAACGGTAATCCTCCCTACCCTGCCCTGCCGTTTCACCCCTGCCCTACCTCTTCTGCCCTGCCATTCCCCCGCCACCATTCACTACCTGCTGCGCTCCTCCTTCAGTCCAACTCCAAACCTGCCTTGCCTTTCCCCCCCGCTGCCCTTGCATCCCTCCCTACCCTGCTCTCCCTTCCCCCTTATCTTGCCATAAGGTACCCCCTTGCTGTCGCTTCAAGAACATCTTTGATTTCTGGCGGGGAATAGAAGAAGGGAGTAGAGAACTTCCTGAAGTGAGTAGGGAAACGAAGTGGCAGTGTGCGCATGGGAGGGGATGGAAGGGGATGGGAGGGGCTGGAAGGGGATGGGAGGGCCGGGAAGGGGATGGGAGGGGCTGGAAGGGGATGGGAGGGCCGGGAAGAGGATGGGAGGGGCTGGAAGGGGATGGGAGGGCCGGGAAGAGGATGGGAGGGGCTGGAAGGGGATGGGAGGGCCGGGAAGAGGATGGGAGGGGCTGGAAGGGGATGGGAGGGCCGGGAAGAGGATGGGAGGGGCTGGAAGGGGATGGGAGGGCCGGGAAGAGGATGGGAGGGGCTGGAAGGGGATGGGAGGGCCGGGAAGAGGATGGGAGGGGCTGGAAGGGGATGGGAGGGCCGGGAAGAGGATGGGAGGGGCTGGAAGGGGATGGGAGGGCCGGGAAGAGGATGGGAGGGGCTGGAAGGGGATGGGAGGGCCGGGAAGAGGATGGGAGGGGCTGGAAGGGGATGGGAGGGCCGGGAAGAGGATGGGAGGGGCTGGAAGGGGATGGGAGGGCCGGGAAGAGGATGGGAGAGGCTGGAAGGGGATGGGAGGGCCGGGAAGAGGATGGGAGGCAACGGAGGTAAGATAAGGAAGGGGGTAAAGGGAGGGAACGGAGAGATGGGAGAGAAGGGAGAGAAGGTAGAGAAGGGAGAGAAGGGAGAGAAGGGAGAGAAGGGAGAGAAGGGAGAGAAGGGAGAGAAGAGAGAGAAGGGAGGGTAGGGAGAGAAGGGAGGGAACGGAGGGAAGGGAGGGAAGGGAGGGAAGGGATGGAAGGGAGGGAATGAGGGAAGGCAAGGACGGGAGAGAAGGGAGGGAAGGGAGAGACGGGAGACTGCAAGGAGGGATGAGAGGGAAGCGGAAAGGGAGATATGCTCTATTGCTCCCTTCTCCCCTTGCTTACCCTCCTCCCCCCGCCTTCCTACCCGTTGTTTCCATTTTCCTCCCCCACGAAGTAGAATTGACCCAGGTACCTATCATCCCTCGAGTCCTTGTCATTATCTTCGTTCTTCATATTTGCAGCACCGCCTCCGCGACCGCCACGGCCTCCACGGCCTCTTCCTCTCCCTCCACCTGCTCCTCTACCCTCTTGGCCTTGAGGAGAGGTCCATCCATCAGGGAGTTTGTAGCAATCGCGCCACATGTGTCCGCTCTTGTGGCAATAATGGCACTCGCCATCAAATCGTCCGTGACCGTGACCGTAGCTCTTGTCGTCGCTGCCGTAACGGCCACTTCCGCGGCCTCCACTGAAGTTGCTGCCTCCAATCCTTCCTCCCCTTCGTCCTCTGCCTCTTCCCCGCCATATCCACAGCCGACGCTCGCTGCCTAAGCGCCATCCGCACTCGCCAACTGACGGTGGCGGAAGTCCTCTTGAAGGATGGCTCGCTTCACACGTCTTCAAGCGAGATGCGGGGCAAGTCGCGATTCAAGTTGATGATGAGTGAAGACCATGACTCGGGGAGTAGGGCCAGCAACTTGGTCTTCTTCTGGAGCTCACTATAGTTTAAATCAGCTCCCTCAAGCCGCGTGAACAATCAAAGAATTTCTGCACCCTTTCTTCTAAGGGTTCATCTTCTTCAATTCGAAGTATCGCCATTTGCCGTTCCAACACCACAGCTACTGCCCCTGTTGCAGGAGTGTGTACGCACTTGAGAGCAGCCCATGCTTTAGGTCCCTTCTCTGGTTCACGCTGGAATGGCTTGATGTGACGGATTTGGCTGCTCCCCAAGTAGGAGGTAGCCTTGTGCGCTCTTCCGCACCCACGAGCTCTTCTCCGGGTCGTTCTCAGGACGCTATCCGTTCCTTCCATCACCTCCAGCAGGTCATGATGGTCAAACACGTTCTCCATCCTGAAGGACCACTCAGCAAAGTTGTCGCCGTTGAACTTGTCAAGCCCGAACACTCTTGGTTCATCCCTAGAAGGTACAAGAGTAGGTTGCACGGGTGCCGTGGCTGAATCACGGGGTTGACCTTCTGCTTGGGGTCCTCTACTACCACCAGCACCTCTGTCACCCCTTTCTTCAGGTCCAGCCATCGTCCAAGCTGCTCCAAGGTGCTCTGATACCACTTGTTATAGTCACAATAGGCTTCAATGTGCCTAAAACGAAAGATAGAGTGCACAGTCGGATTTCTGCACAGCGACTTAAAATGTTCATAGCGATCTGCTCACGGCTCCAAATGAGCTGATTCAATTTGGATCTGGAGCGTGTTAACGTCGCCTACAATAGACAATTGAAATTGCCTGATTTTATCCAGAATTGACGACACAACGTCTATTTGAACACACAATTAGGAAGAGCTAGGAAGAGTTACGAGTTGGGAATGACTCCCAGCTCCTACAAATCCCAAGAGCCGAGGTACAGTGATGTGGAACAGTTTCACACTGTCCCCAACCAAGAAGGGTCTCGAAACTACCCTTCTCAAGGGCCTACACCAATTGAAATGTTACACTACACTCAAGGACCTCTTCTCAATGTCTTGAGGTGTGCCCTTTTGGCGAGCTTCGAAATTACTTGAAGCTTGAAACCAGGGCTCGGGTTCTTCATCACAAACTCATCCTTGAGTTCTTGATGGGTCTGTTGCACACACCTGCGACACGCCGAACGTTCGACACAGGACAAAATAGAAACCGCGCACGGCAAGATAGAAACCGCGCGGGGCATACAAAATGACCGCGTAACACGCGACTAGCGATAACCCGCTATTGACTCGCCACACACACTCAACATCAAGACCCGTCATACGTACATTATTATAAGCATGAAACATATATTATTTCATGCCTTCATACCATTCCATGTTCACATGCATGCACGCACACGGACAACAAGCTGAGTGCAAACCGCAGGGTTGTACCAACATTGTTGTCGACGCGGAAGATGGTCAGCTTCCGAGCGTCGAACAGTTTGAATTATGCAAGAAGGAAACGAAGTCGGCGTCCCTCCTTGCCTGCATCCGTGGCCGCCACGTACTCCGACTCGGTCGATGATAATATCGCGCACTTGATGTGCGAGCTCGACCAGGAGACCGCGGCCCCTCCATAGACGAACACGTAGCCGCCCGTGCTCGTCCAGTTCTGCTTGTCGCCCGCGTCATTGACGTCCACGTAGCCCATCAACTTCAGCGACTCTGGTCCACCGCCGAACTCCAGGGCGGTGTCGCGGGTGTCAGCGAGGTAGGCGAGGCAGCGGTCGACCTTGCGCCAATGCTGGTCGCTCCTCACCGTGAGGCCGCTCCCCAACTTGCTGTAGGCGAACGTGATGTCCGGCCTCGTCGTCGTCGCTGCGAACTGCAGCGAGCCGACCTTCTGCCGGTACTCCTCCTCCTCGCGCTCCTGGGCCTCCTCGTCGTCGAACGTCAGCTCGGCGTAGGCGTCGACCGAGACCGGCGTCTTCGGGACTCGACCGCCCTGCTCCTCGTCGATGAAGCGCCTGCGCAGCTTGTCGGCGTAGCCCTGCTGGTGCAGCCACAGCTTCCTGGCCGACCTGTCGTGCACGATCTCCAGCCCAAGGTACTTCACCACTGACGAGATGTTACGCAGCTCGAAGGTGGCCTCCAGCAGCTCCTTCAGCTCCTTCAGCATCGCGGTGCTGGTGCTGGCGACGAGTAGGTTGTCGACGTAGACCAGCACCCAGCAGGTCACTCCGTCGTCGCCGACCTTGAAGTAGAGCGCCTCGTCGACCTAGCTCTTCTTCCAGTCTGCGCCCAGCAGCACACCGCCGACAGCCCTGTACCACAGCACCGGCGACTGCTTCAGTCCGTAGAGGCTCTTCAGCAGCTTGCACACCCGGCCGGTCCCATCGTTGAAGTAGTCCGGCTGGTACATGTACAGCACCCTGTCGAGCTTGCTCTGCAGGAAAGTGTTCTTCATGTCGAGCTGCATCAGGTTGAGATCGAAAACGGCGACGATGATGAGGATGATCCTCAGCGTGACGTAGCTGCTCACCGGCGAGTACGTCTCGTCGTAGTCGGCGCCGTACACCTGCGTGAAGCCCTTCACGACCAGCCTCGCCTTCTCGCGCTCGACGGTGTCGTCGATGCGGTACTTGGTCGTCAACACCCACCGGTTCTTCATGATGTTCACCCCGCGTGGGCGTTCGACCAGCTCCCAAGTGCCCATGCCGATGAGGCTGCGGATCTCTTCTTTCATGGCGGCCTTCACCGCCTCACCCTTCCAGCTCGCCAGCGCCTCCTTCACCGTCATCGTGGCGATGTCCCAGCGATGTTCGGGGTCGGCATGCACGTCGGGGTCGAGCTCCGGCAGGTCTTCATCCTCCTCGGCGTCGTCGTACAACAGGTCGTCGTCGACCTCGTCGTACACCGTGGTGAAGGCAGCTGGTGGCAGGCAGGCGTGGAAGCTCAGCCGCTCCGGCGGCCGTCGAGCTCGACCAGAACGTCGCAGCTCCGGCGCAGACTTCTCGACCGGAACCTCCACCACATCACTATCGGTGGATTCCTGTCCCGCAGACAACTCCCCTTCCTCGTCAACAACTTCGTCGTTGACCAGCTGCTTCAACCCTACGACCGGCTGCTCGCCTACTGCTGCCTTCGACAGTCCCCTGTCGACGGTCCCGTCTGCTGCTCCCCTGTCGACTGCCCCCCTGCTGCTGCCTCCTATTCGAGGCTCCCCAGTCTGCTGCTCCCTTGTCGTCGACGGCTTCTCGTCCTTCTCGTCCTATTCGACGAGCTTGGCACCCTGTCGACGGCCGGCGATGCCACTGACGACGCCTCAAGGCTCCCCTCATCGGTGGTGGCCGACACAGGCGTCGACGCAGGTCGATCTGCGATGGTGGAGGGAGGAGCAAGAACAGGGGGAGGTGGAAGAACCTCCACAACAGCGTTATCAGCAGGCTCGGCGATTTCGGCGAGCAGTAGAGCCGTCGCCGTCAAGGAGTCCGTCGGTGGTTGTGCCTGCGTCCGCCCCGACGCCGGCCCATACTTCGCCTTCTACACCTCCAGCGACAGTGTCTCGTAGGATATCACCCCGACCGACGTGACCACCTTGTTGTCGGTTGGGTCGAGCACCTCCGAGCCCTTGCTCTCCAGTGACACACCCAGGTGAAGCCCCCAGCGAGCCTTCGGCGCCAGCTTCCCACCGCGCTGCTGCTCGGGAACCATGAACTGCACCATGCAGCCCCACACCCGCGCCAGCGTGAGGTCGGGCTTCTTCCCGGTCAGCAGCTGGTACGGATTCGTCCCTGGCGGCATTGTCGACCACTCCAAGCAGTTGCGCACTCAGACAGCTTGTCAAAGAGCGATGTGCCACCAGTGGTGGTCGGAGTGTAGGGGCACGTCAGATCGTGGACGATGCCCTTCCCGTCGACGAAGTTGGTGAAATCCGTTCTGAGGAACTTCCCTCCCCGGTCTGAGCAAAGCAACAGCACCGACTTCTTCGTCTGCCGTTCCACCAACACCAGCCACTTCTGAAACCCCCGAAGCACGTCGCTCTTCGTAACGACCGGCATTGCCCACACGAACCGAGTGTGGCGATCCTTCAGCAGCAGGAAGTACAAGCTGCCATCCTTGGCAGCCACCCGAAATGGCCCGCACAAGTCAATGTGCACGACAGCCAGTGCCTCCTCGGCGTCCGAGCCCTTGTCGGGGAAGGTGTGCCGTGCCGTGTCGACGCACGAGACGCACGGCGGGTCTGCTCCGGTCGACGGCGCGATTTCGAGCCCAGTAGCAACTTCATGCTTCGCCGAGCTCTTGATCGTGTCGACGCTGACGTACGTGAGCCTCGCGTGCAGCCTCGTCGCCGAGACGATCGTCCGTAGAGCCACCACCTCGGTCGACGGCAACCGCATCTGGCAGGGGCGAAGGTTGGTGCATAGGATTCGGCCGGTGTAGCGTGCTCGACCGAGCACCTCCCGGTCGCTGCAACGAGCAGCATCTCGTCGCCGTCGCCCTGCAGCTGCACTCCGCTCTCCTTCAGCTGGCCA